ATTGACAAGATGTCCGTGGCAGCTGTACCGTCGGTGATGGTCAAGTAGAACAATATCAAGCCTTCTTAGACTATCTCTCTCTACACTGATGATTCTATCCTAAGTCTCCTTGACACATACTACAGTTGGCTTCTACCTAATAGTATAAATAGTATACCTTAAGAGCTTCTAAAGGGAGAAATATAACATATTAAAAATATAGCTAGAATGCATTATATTAATAAACAGATATAAGGTTTCTCTATAATCAGTTAAAATTGGAATCTTATAGCATAAGATTTGCCTCCTCGTCATTATTTTGAAAATATTGTCTGCACAATTACAGCAACATAATCATACTACTCTGAATCCTTGGAAGCGTACAGTATAATTTTCCATTTGCCAAGCAGTTTAATGTAAATTGTTTGTTTTCTACATCGATATTACCATGAAGATTTTCCATTTAGGTAATGTGAGGCATCTGACGAACTCTACAAGTAGACATACTACAAATTCACTTAACTGCAATCTTACCTTCCTGATGCATGGTCTTTGTTTGCTAATTTGTCCTGACATTAGTTGTAACATTCTGATACATACTAGTTATGAGAGAGGCTTTTATTAGTTCCTCGTATCTGATATACTTAGTGTATTGAACCTATGTAATAACATTTATAGACAATTATTTCACATTATTTTTATGAATCTGGGGCTTATATTATCACCCTATTCTTAACCTCATTGGATCTTTTCAGATAATACTGAAATGCAGGATTACTATACTAGTAGTGTTTCCTATTTAGGTGGGGAACATGATAAGGGCAGTTATGCAGGAATGGGACAAGTTGATACCACGGCAATGTAATAGGTATAGGTATATTGAGAGTACATCTTCAAACCTTGAAGTTTAGTGGTTTAAAGATCGGAATAGAATATAAACAGAATTTCAATCTCTGACTAATAATATGGCAATTTCAACCTCATGATAGATTATTGTTATTGAAATTTTAACAATACGGGGGGGGTATCATAGTAGTTGTGCTTGTCACAATTGGGGGTACCAGTAAATTTTGTACGGAGCCTCGTCGAGGGTTTATCTACAGATCACCTATAAAACAAAAAAAATAAAAACTTATGAAATGACCACCAGTTTCTAATAAACCTATACTCCGTCAAGGAGAGGGGATTATGAAAAAGACAAAACAACTGAGTATCATAGGGGGAGAAAAATTTAGACTACAAATCACTTTCTCAAGCAATTGTCTAACTTAATAAATCAAACCACTATGCTAAACATAAGAGTCAGATAGAAAATCCGGAGCATAGACAAAGATATGGGGGAAAGAGAAGGATATTACTAGTCTACTTCCACCTAATCCTCCCGGCATCCTTATCCTTTTTCTCGCCGTTGCCCCCTCCATCCATCTCAACTTTCCTTTTAGGCGTAGCCAGCATGTTAAGCCTACTCCTTAGAAGTACAGCTTTCCCACGGTCCCTAAGCGACTTCTTCAAAGGGGTTCCTGCAGCAGCAGCCGCTGTAACCTCCTTAGTCTCCTTAGCCCCCGTAGCTTTCGCAAAAGGTTCCTCGGTAGAGGCAAACTTCAACCTCTTCCTTGCACCACCTTCTCGTATAGTATCCACAGCCTCTCCATCCCCAGTGTCGTTACCACCATGACCACCGGTGTGGGAGGCTTTTCGTTTCTCACCGAGTGCAGTGGCGGCGGGCGCCCATTCCACAGCTGTCCTGCGGGCTATTCCTACAAATGGATCTTCTGAGCTCGTCCTCATGGGAGTCAATAATGGGGTTGGCGCTGTTGGGGTGTCTTTATTGGGGTTATAGTTCAGGGAGTGCATGCCATGGAGACGTTTGTAGTCTATTCCGGCACCTTTGCTTCGGAAGGTAAAACCATCTGTCTTAGGCGGGGAAAGTGGGTTTCTTTCTTTCTTCGGGGTATCAGTGCTTGGGAGTTTGATGCACCGGTTTGGTAGTGCGGCGCTGCTAGGGGTTGGATCTGTACACTCTATGGCTGGGGCAGCTATAGCACTCGGAATCTTCGAGAGAGTAGTGCCGGCCCGAACAAGACTATGTCTAGTAGCAGGCGTAAGGTTCAATCTTCCAACCGTGGAAATCTTCGCAACCGTGGCGGAGCGGTTCTTGAAGCCCTTTGTCGGGGTCACGGCTAACCTCGGAATCCCACTCAGTTTTCTGGGCAAGGAGACCGTCTCCATCTTCAGAGCTGATATCTTAGTCCTCTTCAGAGGGCTGGCGCCATCGCATTCAGCTTTCCAAGGACCCCCAACTAGCGTCTTGACAGGACTCGGCGAGCTCGGTGGTCCACGATCACCAAATTCCGCATGGGACTTGGTCCGCTTGACACCGCGTGGTATCTTCTCGATTGTAACCGGTTGCTTCGGGGTGCGCTTAGCAGCATAATGCGTAGTGATACTCTCCATCTTCTCAAACTGACGTTTGTGAACGTCGGAAAAACGTCTACTCTTCTTCTCCGCAATTGGCCTCGCAGGTGTAACGGAGGCCGGGAAAGCGGGAGGGACAAACTCCTCAAACTTCTTCTCGCCGGTCTTAATCACACGGAACTCAAATCCGGTACTAGGAACTTTGGGTTTCTGCGCGGGATTACTAGGAGTGGTAGGGGCCCCATCATTAACCTCCTCCGAGAAGTTACCAAGCTGTTTCGCGGTTGTCGCAGCGTATGCCAGGATCCGACTATCCGGCTTCGGAGTGATGAAGGGGGTCTCCGGATACAGAACCTTCTCTAACGAAGGGTACTCGGGTTTTGGCAAGGATGGGTAGTCAAGGGTTGTAGCGGGGGTAGCAGTGGAATTGAGTTTTGACGCGGCGTCTGCAATTCGATCAAGTGCTGACTATAACTAATTCGTTAGCGTTACCGAAGATACCACCGAGACAACAAAGTAAGGAGTCACATTAGTGGCCGGAGAAGCCGCACCCGTCTCCATAGACCTTAAGCGAGCCATGAGGGATAAGAAAAGATTGCTAGGAGGGTTCGATTTCTTTTGTGAGTGAAGGGATTCTCAAACGGAATGAGGAGCGCAGTGGGGAGATCAAGGCTTTTATGCGGGTGCAAAGGCGATATAAACACACATAAGCCGACGGTGGGTTGCACCAGCGAGGGGTTCGGTAGTAGCTGATGCGCGGTGATGTACTGAATGTGAGAGTGGGGGGAGAGGGGAGTGGAGGATCGGGGAGGTGCAGGAGTGGAGGAAAGAGCTGGGTCGCGTGGGCCCAGGTGTCTGTGACCAATTTGTTTTGTTATAACATCGACGGTCTCGGAGCAAGGGCGATGTTGAGCATTAGGGCAATGGTTGTCAGGGGAACAGTGAAGGCCAAAAAGTGATTGGGGCGATAGTCTAAACGATGGAGGTGTTGGGCTGGCACGATATTGAATGTGTTTTCGCCAAGCATAGTCACTGTCCGTCAAACTAATATCATACAGGTTACAAGCAAGGAGTGGTGGAACACATACAGGCACACGATGTGTTCAATTTACATGATCTCTGAAATAACAATACCCGGGGTTTATATGATACAGTTACTAATCAGAAGTGTTAGTCCAATGCTGGCTAAGCAACGTTGCTAAAATGCCGGCATACAAATAATATTACGGTAAAGGTCTCATATGCCGTTAATGTTTTCAAAAATCCCCTCAAATGCCACAGTACCCTCAGATGCCACAGAATTTGATTATGTAAGTTTTTTGTTAAAATTTTTGTTAAGGCTCCGTTCGGCATGTACAGTACGAGGGGGGGGGAAAGAAGTAGTGCGACACAGTAGCAACCACTTTCCACAAGATCGCAACTCTACTCCCAAACCCCATCACTACAATACTCACTATATCCCCCACCACCTGCCAAACCATTTCAGAAAAGCACTATAAGGGTAAAGGGAACCCGCAGAAGTGAGCGTAAGTAGTTTAATTAAATGAATATGTACATAAAGTTGAAATAATAATAAAATTAAATGATTTAGAGATTAGTCCACAAAATCTTGAGCAGCGGCGATCGTTGACAAAGAAGCGACAGCGCTTCGAGCGGGAAACCACATGTGATGACCAGATCTGTATTATTGCTCTCCGAAAAATAGCGGAGTGGTCTTTGAGAAAGATAGCTGCCGAATTGGAGGAAAAAATAGGCCTTAAAGTTCACCATAGTACCTATGCTTACATCTATCAATGGTATCAGGAAACAGGTAGTCCTTCCAACTACCAGTGAACAGGAAGACCTCCAATCTTCCAGGAGTCTGATCTACTTAATCTTAAGTCAATTATTAAAGAAAATAAAAGAAATAGAAGACTCTCTTGAGAGGATATTAAAGAAGAAAAGCAATTAAAGGCATTATCCAGGACAATTAGGAAGGCAGCTAAGAGTCTTAATTTAAATAAAAGAAAACCACACAAGAAGTAAGTACTTTAATGAAGATTCAAGTGTTTACAGAACTAAAAGATATTTTAGATGGAGATTGCGCCCTAAAAATAGACCAATTAGATTTGGTTAGTGTATGAGAAAAAGAGCTTGGAAACTAAGAGACTGGTCCAGAATCATATAGACTGATGAAACCTCATTCTCTACAGCTGGATTTGGACAGAGAGGATGGGTGATAAGAGAATCTTCTGAGGAATATGATCAGGATTGCATTGATGAGGTCTGGGAGTCAGGAAGGGAGACAGTTATGGTATGAGGAGCCTTTTGTGGGGATTTGAAGTCAAAGCTAGTGGTAGTACCAGGAAAGGTTAAAGTGGATTCTTATGAGTATACTAAGTATATTCTGGATCCAGTTTTAATTCCTTTCTGGTATGAGTATTGTGAGAGATTTGGCTGGACTAGGGTTGTTGAAAATGGTGTACCAGGGCTTAAAGGGTAGGTTCTACATCCTTATAATTATTGTATTTTCTGTTTTTTGATATAGAAATACTTACTTAAGAATATAATCTAACTACTGGTTTAATCACTGATATTCTACAAAGTCTAGAAAAAGGAATGGGGTGGATATATTACCCTAGCCACTACAGTCACCAGACCTGAACTTAATTGAAAATATTTGGGAAGATATGGAAACTTACTTAGGGAAAAGGTATGGAAGAGTTGCAAGCAAGGAAGAGCTAATCAGAGCTGTAGAGGAAGCATGGAAAGATATTCCTGATGGATGGTTTATGGATCTTTGCAGAAGTATGCCAAAGCAGGTCAGAGAGGTTATTAGAAGAAAAGGGCACCAAACTCATTATTGATTTATGATTTTCTTTTTATTTTACTTTAAGGAAATACTAAGTATTTTTTAATTTTATCTCCTTTACTTATTTTATTTATTGAATGTAGTTGTGGAAAATGGTAGTACTATATGTTGTTAATATTGTTTCCATACGGGAATTTGTGTTGCACTGGTGTCGCATTACTTTCTTCCCCCCCATCGTATAGTAGAGTCATGTCCAGAAAGTTTTTGTACCCTCGCATAGCAACCGCACAACCACAACCCCCAACCATAAAAATTTCAAAAAATATATAAAGAATTCAATTAAAGAAAACATGATAGTATTGCTAGTAGACAATAAAAAAATTTATTACCATTTTGTATGGCCTCCATTTGCATCCAGTACAGCTTGCATTCTCTCAGGCATCCTATCTATCCATCAATCTAATTTCTCTTAGGGAATTAAATCTCACTCTTCCTTTGCTGCCTCAAACAATTGAGCTGCACTATGAGGCCTTCTTTCCAGTCTGGATAATCGCTTGGTAAGGGCTCTTTTGAGTAGTGACCATGTGTTCTCAATAGGATTGAGATCTTGTGAGTTGGATTGCCAAGGGAGTTTTTTGTAGCCACTGTCTGCTTCCAATTTTCAATTTTCCTCACCACCAGGCCAGGAAGCATTGTCAGCAGCAAGGTAGATATTGTCAGAAGGTCTATTCAGACCCTCTATAAAAGGGATAAGGTAAGGCTGGTGGATCTCAGTTGCATATTGGTGAGAGTTTAGGCCAAGTCTGTCTCTTTTGCTGGTTCTTTCCTCCTCCCTCCTCTTTCTCACAAGAATTAACTCAGTCTTTCTTCCCTTCATCATTGTAGTATATACTCCAATGCTAGTCCTTCCAGACTTAAAGCTAGGCTTTAAGTTTTTTCCTTCCAGCTCTTCACCAGGTCTAACTTCAACCTTTCTGCCAGTTGGATTTGGATTATAAACAAGGGTGGCTTCATCCACACAAACAACCCAATTCCATGCCCCTTTCCAGTTTCACCTTCTCCTAGTATACTCCCTTTTCTCCTTTTGTTCTTTTCTCTAAAAAGGCTTCTTCCTAGGTATCAGAAGCTTAAATCCAGCTTCTGATATAATCTTATCAATAGTCGTTTTACCAATACCACTATTGGCTTTTTTGGTAATGTCACTTAACACTAAATGAGGCTCAGCATTGATAACTGACTCTACTATCTTTCTTTTTATGTCGGTAATCTTGATTGATCTTCCACCTCTTTTTGCATGGTGAGTGTTTCCACCCCTAGATTTAGCTCTTTTGACTACAGACTGAACAGTTAACTTGGATACACATAAAGACTTAGAAATTTTGTCATATCTTATATCTGTATATTTATACAGAGTATAAATTTCCTTATTCAGGTCTTTTCTTGCTCTTAGATTATGTGAAGGTGCCATGGTGAGAAGGGTTGTTGTGGTGATGAGATGATGCGGGGTTGCACCTCAAGGTTACAAATACAAAGGCTTTCCAGACACGACTGTACCAATCAAAATATATCGCAATAAAAGTTGAAAATAGCATATATGCTAATAAAAAAATTCAATATAAAAAAAAATATAAGTATTTGGCAACTATGCTCCACCGCTATGTGAAAGAGAAAAAAAAAGTCGTCACACAACTCAACTTAAGACACATACCAAAAATCAAAAACATAGGATACTAACCACCTAACAGTGTCTCCACTCTTATGGAAACATTCTTGAACTATACGGTTAAAACCACTATGTGAAACTGCCTATACAACCATAGTGACCTCTTCAATATTAGCTGCATACCTTATGTTATGCAAGTACAGGCATATTTCCAACAATTCGCATAGTTTGAGGATGACACTACAAGGCATATAAAGTACCTCCTAGAGCTGCTACTCTTTTGTATTTGCAGAGAGAAGCTCTGCAATATAGGCTTTACTGGAGTGAGCTGATGTACAAATTCTTTTGGCATTAAAACAATAGTCGATATATTTCCCAATATTGCTCAAAGCATGGAGTATAAAGCAGCCATCAATTCTGAATGCGCTATGACTTTCTGAAACTACAGAGTCTGAGTCTGAGGAGGCTGTATTATCAGAATCATAGCTAGTATTGTGCATTTGTAGAGAATTTGTATAGGATAATTGTAGTTTATTGATCATATAAAAATCGGGAATAATGGGATTCAAGTAGAAATATGCAATGGATTATTATCTATTATACAAGAAGAAACTCTTTGTTTTAGAGTTCAGAGGTTTATACTTTTCTTGAGTGCTATTTCATGATTCTACACCTAGCCCTACTATAAAAATATACAATAAAAATTTATAAACGGAATAAAAATATATTGTCATTTTGTAACACATGCCAAACACACCCATATATAAAAACTTTAATATGCCAAAAAATAAGCTTAAAAGTGACATACTGAATGGAGCCTAAAAGAAATTTTTTGCATCATAGAAAATTAAGAGAAAGAAAAGTCCAAGTACATACATGCGAGAGAATTATACTATAAAAAAGAAATTTACTAGTCCTGCAAGCAGTGACAAGTAGGGAAAAGTACTGAGAGTTCAGAGCAAGAAGCAAAGAGTGTAAGGAGATGAGCAGAGCTTACAGAGTGAGTAAAGAGGAGAGAGAATTGAGTAAAGAATGGAGAGTAAGGGATTCTAGAGTACTGTAAAATCTCCAGAAATCTACTATCTCTACTTTGTCACAAATATTCCTATAACTGGTGACTTTGACTTGAGATAGATTTTAATTACAAAGTTAATGAGATCTAATATAGAGAAGTAACTCAGGCTATACTGTGTCAGGAAAACACTAATTCTTTTTAAGAACTGTTGACTTAGAATACAAAGAGTACGGCTATGAAAGAGTGTTGATTGCAACCGATTATCAGACATTAGAAATTGAATGAAAGGAGGGAGAGAGTAGATTGGCTGAGGAGAGGAAGTACTGGAAGAGGAGATAGAGTGAGAGAAAAAACAAAGTTAAGTCAGAGAGAAAAAAGAATGGTGAGGTAGAAAATACCTGTTCCTATATAATCGGAATTCTCCGCTAGTCGTACTAAGACTAAGTAAATAATTTATATTGAGAACCTAATTTGTATGTAATTTACATA